GGCTGTGATTTGTGCACTTCAAGAAAAGGGCAAAGACACTTATGAGCCTATTGTTTCTTAATCTGTACACATTTTATAAATACACATAAATGTATTTTCATTTTAATGTTAATGTCTATGCTGTGTACTTTGAAGATATATTAAATTTCCCACAAAGATATGTTTATATTGCTGTCTGGACAAATTTTATTCAGCTACCGGGTTGCTGTACATGGGAAAGCGGTAAACACATTTTATCCAATGAGGCACATTCTAGGCACAAAGTATAAAGATGCTGTCAAGGGAAGATATTACACACACACCAGTAAAAGTGCAGTCTAGACAAAACCAGCCTTCATGTTCTTCATCATTTTGCAGTAAAGTGGACTGTCCGTTTTGAGGTAGAGTCTGGAAGTTTTTAAATTTTTGATTTGGTTTGCATCTGCCACCTTTCAGAAGAACTCCGTAAAGTAGAAATGCATGTTTTTAAAGTTCTAAATAAAAAGACTTTCCCCTTTGCTATGACTGTAAAGCAAAAAATAGAAGATAATCCTCTTGGCGACTCAACTCAAAGTTTAGCTGTTCATAAAATATCTAAAAACGTAAAACCCTCTAAAATTCACAGTGTCACGGAAACAAGGTTGCTGATAGAGGTGTAGTGGTCAGCAGTAGACCAATTACACCCTATTTTTTTTATAACATCTTTAAAAAATAATTGTAGCGATTAGAAAATTTAAATCTAACGTTGACATCATTTAGCCATCATATCTTCCCAAATGAAGCTGATTTTTCTGGCCGTCTATTTTGAAACTATTTCCTGCTCTGTCTATGCAACTCTGATACAAAAAGAGTGAGTTGATGAACTGTCAGCCAAAAAAATCAGTTCCAAGACGCCTCTCCAGACTATGTATTGACTGAGCTGATAAAGGAATCCATTTGTCCTGTCAATCAATCTCATTTGCTTTGCTCTCTTTCTTGCACTTAAGAGATCTTCTTCCCACCTGTTATTTCTTCCTCATCCTCACCTACCTCCTCCTCCTACCACCCTTGTGCCGCCTACTCACTCCTCCACCTTTCATCAGGCTTCAGCACTCTCCTAACCACGCTCTCTGTTGCCTCATCTCCCTCCTACGAGCCGAGCACTTTACATGTCACCATCTCACTGAATGTGTGTGTATTGGTGTGTGTGTGTGCACGCGCATGTGCATCACACAGATGCTGCATTGCAGGGCTCTCCTGTGAAGGCCATATTATTGCAGGAGCCTAAGAGGCAAGGGATTCAAGTTCTCGTGCCCTGGGAAGTAACTGTGAATTTGCTCATGTTCTTTTATTTATTTAAGGAGGGTTTAAGGTATATTGCTGCCTGTGGGCACTCCATGTTTCTAAGGAAAGATAACTTGTGAGGACTTACCCTTGACTGGGCAAGGCTTGAAATATACCAAGACAAAGTAAATATGAAAAAAAATGCCTAAGAGTTTCTTTGCAAAAAATCATGCTATGATAAAAATTATTCTATTTGACAAATGGCTGATTATCTGGCGACTTGAACCACCACAATCTCAGGTCTTTTGGAGTGTCTAAAAAATTTTATTAGATATTATTTATTATTATTGTTATTTTACCATAGCACTGTAGCTTCATCAATCATCCCATGAATTCTGACCAACTTCTCTTTCATTTCTTAAGATAAGGGACGCCTCAGTATGATTCTTCCACCACTGTGCTTTAGCATGAAAATTATATATTGATATAATGATATATTCATTCTTCTTCCATATTGGTTGTTTTATTAGAATAAAATTTTACAATCAAAGAGTAAGTATTGTTCTTAACTTTTGTGTGGATGGAATATTGACAGGTCATAACTTAAAATCTGAGCCTTAAATTTTTTTTTTTGTTTCTTGCTTTTTAGTTTTTTGCCTTATAACTGACTAATAATTCATATGCGGTTTATCTAAGGATACGTAAGAAAATGTATAAATAGTAGGAGTCAACTATCATATTTTGTACATGAAATAACTAAAGGTTTGAAAAATAGCTATCAAAACACTTGGAATAAGCAAAACAAAAGCCTTTAAAGACTTCTTAAATTCACTGTCAGCTTTGCGGTGGAATTAAAGGAGATCTAGATGGAGAACAGATTTTACTACTGCTATCTAAGAGCACCTCTGAGCAACATTAATTCAGAGATATATCAAACTACTTTATACTAGTCTGCAGAGTTGGGCAGTGTTATTACCATTGCCTTGCACAAAGATGCGCAAATTCCAGTCTGGGGTCTTTTATGCAACAGAGGTGCATGTTCCCAGTCCATGCATGCATTTTTTGACAGTACTGCAACTTTTTTGAACAGTGCATAAGAACCCGACTAACATGGTTAGATGGCCTCTTTACCTTGCACTTAGGTCTGAACTTATGCATGAACTTATGCATGCATATCGTGTGTTATGTGTGTCTGTGTTGCCATGCTCTGGACTGGCAGCCTGTCAGAAGAGTCCTCTACCTCTCACCAATGAAGACTGGAGATAGGGACCTATCCTATCACCATGTAAAGATAAACATGCAGAGATGATGGAGGGATTTTATGAATGAACTTAAGCAGAATAAGCAATGAAAAAAAGTAAAGGGATCTAACCAAATGTTTCCAGAATAAAATGAACAAAAACACCTGTACTACTATATCTCATTCATATTTATTTTCATGTTTCATAATGAAATAAACACCAGCAGTACTTTGAAAAACGTTATGCAAATCTACAGTCACCTTGAGAACAGGTTGCAGATTTGAAGGACAGTTTTAAATTTGAATAAAATGAAGATAATTTACTCGTTTGATTGGCTTTAAAACATAAAGGTCACCCTTGTTCATAGGGTCAATCTGTGCTAAAAAACAAAAAATACTTGAGTCTATTTGAATTCTGGAAAACATAAGTTTGGTCCAGGTTCTTTCATAGCATATTAAAATACAATTCTTAATTATACAGTACTTGACTTTTATAATGACTAACATTTTGTATGACCTTGGCAGGTACCATTCAAATATTTTGGCAGTTAGAAACTAGGAATTGACTAAATATCAATGTCTACAGTTTTTTAGTAAGAAAAAAAAGCTACTTATAGAGATAAAAACAGCCATTAAAAGTCACATTTGCATTTCACCCAAAAGCCATTTATAAAACACCTCAAGCATATGAGTTAAGGTGTTCGGGTTAAAAGAAACCAAACTTACTTTCTAGCTCACATTAAATACACTACCTGCAGAATTTGCTATACATGTCATAGCTAACTTACAGCAAAACAAAAGACGCCACACCTTCAGAATATATAAAAAAATTTTGAAACAATTCAAAGCACATTATATTGCATTCATTATATTTGTAATGTTATTCTAATCGTAATCAAAGTTTTAAATGAAAAAAAAAAAGGTTTTTAATTATCATGAAATGTTCAAATGTATTCAATAAAAAAAAAAAAGTACCAAAACCACTGGCTTCTGTCTTATGTCGCTGTGAAACTGGCCACCAGTAAACTAGTTGGTGGCTACAGTGGTCAGAGCTGCTCCCTTTAGGGAAGGAATCCTGGAGAAGAGCCTTCAGTGTGGCCATTTTTGAGGATTTTCCAGACCCCTCTCATGACAACAGTGGGGATTAAGGCAATGTATAAAAGTTAATGAATTCATTAATAAAATAAGGTTAACCTGATTTGCATTTCAGCAACATTTTAATAGGAGTGACGTAGTACTGAATTGTTATGATAACACCCCTTGTCTATAGGAAAATACATTGGAAAGTGAAAAAATAACGTTATCAAGAAAGTGCTTGATAACTTTATTCATTTGGAACAAAAAACATAATTATATATAAAAAATAATAATAAAGAAATAAATAAATTGTGGTAGAAATTTTATAAGAGGCAATAACGACTTTGGGATCAATGTCAAGACTTCTGATCCAATCAGGCAAAAATGGGCATAAATGTCAGTGTACAGATGTCCAAAGCTGTAAAAGACTTATATTTAATAATCTGCAGCTCTAATAATAAAAAAAAATCATGTTTTTCCAGATTGTTTTTATTAAAAACATTTTCTTTCTAATTTATTTTACATTTAGAATGTGCTTTTTCTACATTACCACATTTAATTACTATAAGAAGCCTCTAGTCTTTTGTTGTATTGTAATGAAAAGGTGAAGGTCTGTACACAGTTTAGAGGGCAATGTAACCTTAAAATATCAGGTAACTGTATTTAATATATTGCCGGCAGATAACTACCTGAGGACTATATTTAATTCTTATTGAATATAGGTAACATTCCTTTATTGGGCCGAAAACTGTCAAACTGTTCAAACAATTAGTTCTATATATTGAATTTACCATAAAATCTACCTTGTGTATAAGCCAGGCATTTATATTTTTTAATGGACTGCAACTGTTTGAATCTTCATTTTGTACTTTGTGAATTGTAGAAAAAAACCCATCAACTGACACTTATTCAGCTGCCAATCTTCAAGAAACAGATCCTAACTGAATACCTGGGACTGTCATTCTAGAGATTCACAAAACACATGAACCATGAGAGCGTGACTGCCAGCGTACTGGTGTTTATTGTCTCACTAAAGTAGCTCTCCTCTTCCTACTCAGTACCCGCTTCCCACTCATAGCTCCCAGCAGCCTGCACTCACATGTACATCCACCCACACAGCCATTTCATCTGTGGAGGTAGCAGCCATTCTTTCTGTCTCTGTCTCAGTTTCTCTTTCTCTCACTTTAAATTTTACTTTTTTTCCCCACTTTTGATGGACATTCATCACAACTCGGAGCTTTAAGACAGATAAATGTAAGTCTGTCCAGTGAGATGCTTTAACAAGTCTGTACCTTCTAATTTTGTTAGACAAATTAAACCAAACTGTCATAGTATGTACAGCACAGTAATCAATGTAAACTGATCAGCTTCAATCCTTTAAATGTGATCCTATAGAAACAGCTTGATACAGATGTTCAAACATATGTGGTCATACCATTACCTTCTTATGTGGTCAGGGACTTTTTGGTTGAGGAGTTAAGGTGGATCAAAGGAAACCGAGTCGCCCCAAATGTTGAAACGATACACTTCAGGTTGTTTCTCAGGATAAGGAAAGCCAAGAGAAGAATTTTCCCAGTTGGACCTGTTAAGAAAGGAAAAGAATAAAAAACAGACTGAAATGTTTCTATTCCCAAGTCAAGTCTCTCTTCTCTGAGATAGATTTTTTTTCTAATCAAATCTAATACCGCCTTGGCATCAAAGCAGAGCTATGGTTTTAATGCTAATCATGCATTGTTTGTCCTTTGAGACAATTTAACAAAAAAATACATATATTGCCTTTATAGTTTTATCATATTAAATTCAGCAATCAAGTGTTATAAGTCAATATGAATTGTTTGTAATCTTTGTCTTTATAAATCTTTATTATTATTATTTGAATTAAATTATACATATAAATATCGCAGTGGCTTTGTTAATATCTGCTAAACATCTGTAGATTTGTTCCCGTTCTCTACAAAATAGTACTTAAAAAATAATGTGCTGTAACTATGTTTTATATATATATTCAAAACCTTTTATGTTATATCGAATTATTAAAAGTCTGTACATTCTAACATAATGAATGAGGCACTCAGTTGAGAGCAGGTGAGAGAGAGAGCCTTTAGAGCTTCTGAAAGGAGATCTGGAAACTATTTTATTTTGATACTTTCAACAGGAAGTACCCTCATAAGGATGCAGTATTTGAAAGCAAGCAAGTAGGGATGGTAAGAAATAAGTTTGTGTTTAGAAATGATCAGAAGTTATTAACTAAAAAGTTAAATTGGTGAAATATTTGTTATCATAATTATTAAGGAACAGCTAACATAAATCGCTATTAGCAAATGCACTGATTCATGAGTGTGTTTATGTTTAACAGCTTCTTTCACAGTAAAATGTGTGCAGCAGCAGATCAGCAAAAAAGACCTGTGTTTTGCAGCTTAAATATGGTACCAGTTAGATTAAACCTATGGTTACATGAGATAAAAACTGACAATAAAAGTAAAGTGATTTTCAGATACTTTATTGTAAAACTCTTTAGAGTCTTCAGTTTTCTTTATCTGGGAAGATATTTATTTATTTTATTTTATTTGTAATATTATTCTCAGTTAATCTGCTAGCAAATTTTCAAAAGTCAAAAAGTCAGAAAAAAACATCTGGAGTCGAAGCCTGGGTCGGGTCGTCTGATTTAAATCTTGTAAAGAGCATTGATTTTTGCAGAGTTGCAAAAATAATCACCTTAATATATTTTAATATAGCAGGTAATAAAAACAAATCCCAGTGCAATTCCTCCAGGACTGATCTGTTTATATTTTAAAACAGAACTTGCTCTCATCATTTAATTGCTTATTGTTACAATCATTGTGTTTTTTTTATATGCATACCTCAAAACCTAAAAAAAAAAAGACAATTTGAAATGCCAACAATATCCTGGTGGTTTTACCAAGTGCCTCGAGCAGATAGCAGATAGAAAAAAAAAAAAAGAGAGACAAAAATATTCGTAGGTGACTTCATGTTCCATTACCCCCTCTTTAGCTCCTTTGCAACAACGATTCTGTGTCATTTTAAGCAAACTTAAACATATCTATGTTAAGGTATGTATTTATTTATATGTATGTATGTATTTCATTTAATAAAATTCTTTAAAAAGAGAAAGGTTGTAATAAGGTTAGCACTAACATGCATAAAACAAACAGCTCGGTTGGTGAGGTTCACAAAATAAAGTCTTTAAAAGCATCAGCAGTCAGTCAGAAGAAGCTTTATTGCTAAATAGTGTTTCAAAATACAGGAAATTTAATTTGGTTTTCATGCGTTACATATAGATAAATAATGTTTTATCAAGTTAGACTACATAAGAGCTTGAATCACACTTAAATACCAATAGTTCAATTCAGTTTATTTATATAGCACCAATTCACAACACATGTCATCTCAAGGCACATTACATTGACAATTCAACCAGATCATACAGTCAAAGTTTCCTATCTAAGGAAAACCAGTTGATTACTTCGACTCATTGATTCGAAGGCAATCCCTCACACTAAGGATGCTTGCAGAGACAGTGGAGAGGAAATACTCCCTTTGAACAGGAAGAAACCTCCAACAGAACCAGGCTCAGTGTGAGCGGCCATCTGCAAAGGCCGACTGGGGTTCAAGGAGATAGAAGCAGAGATACAAACTTTTCAACCAGCTCACAGGTGGCCACGTCCAGGAAACAAACTGCTTAAATGTACAATAGCCTTCCATATAGCTTCTAAGGTAAATTTTCATTTTTATTTATGTGGTAAATAAATAAGCAATAAATCTGCATATAAAAGTGAGATAATTAATAAATATAATTTAATCTATACCAAGAAGTAAAATATTCTCCCACATGCTTTCATTGTTTGTTTGGAGAGTAAATGTGTTTACAGATAGGGAGAGAGTTTGAAACTCTGGTTATATTTAACACTAAACCTTCTCTATGATCCAAATGCATGTGTGTGGATTTTGTGTATTTAACTTGAATTAAGGAGTTCAGATAAACCTGATCATTGCTTGAAAAGCTTATTTGTTCTATGTCTACTTTATATTGCAGTTATCAAAGCCAAATCCATCAATAGAGCATTTTATGTTGTTGTTTTTTTGTCTCTTTCAATGTGTGGATCTTGCTCCTGTGTGGGAGATTTGTCCATTTTCTCCTAATCCCTTTGACAGCCTCTGCGTGACTCATTGTGATCATAATACATAAACAATGCTTCAGCATGCTCTAATTTATGAAGGAAGGATCGTGTATTGTGGTTTCTATTTTTTTTTTTTTTTTTTTAGTTTATGTGTGAAGTGGACTTTTTTATTTTGGAGATATTTAGCAACAAACAAATTGACCAACTTAATAAAAAAAAAACTTCAATGATGTTTTTGATATTTTACTATGAACTGTTCCATTAGTGGCTTATAGGCTCCTCATTTTAATTTCACTAGAATGTCCAGGATGCATGAGTATTGTATGTTTTACCACATATGATCTTAGTTTCACTTTCTTTAAATCAAACTATACAAACCCACATTTAAACAAAATATTTTCTTTGTAATTAGAAAAATATATAAAAAAAAAAAAATTGAGGTCAGTTTAAAATCAGGTCAATCAGTCAGGTCAATTTAAAATATGTATTTGTGTGTACCATACAAATTGTAAACCTTATTTTCTGATTACATAATTAATAAAGAGGGTATTCTTTAGTATTACATACCAAAGACATTATTTAAATGTTACTTCTGGATTTTTTTGTTATGCTACAGATTGAAATTTAAGCAACTAAATACTTAAATGGAATAATCTCACAATTTTTGCTATATTTTATCTAGGGTCCAAAAACCTAGAAAAAACACACAACTAAAACAGGGAAAAGTGTGTATTCTATTTTCATATAAAATCCATATAAGATCGGTGGTCAAAGATGAGCAATGTCAGTTTAAGCTATTTATTTTTTCAGCAAAAAGGGCAGCAATTTCACATATGTGAGTTAATATCACCAAGTAAGTATGTTGTTAATTATAATTAGATATAATTAGACACATATAATGTGGTAAGAGGAGAGATAAAAAAGATAGCATAACATCTGGAGCATAAAAATATCTTCGAAAATTGAACATAATGGATAATATTGACCATCCTCATTACAACAACAGGGTGTTCAGCCAAAAGCTTCTCTAGATATGATGTAGGGTAGAACGACATTCAACATTCCTCTGTGCCTACAGGTATCAACATATAAAACAACTTGTTGAGAAAAACCTATTAGTTACCACAACATCTAATTTACCATTAGCAATTTCAACAAGTGGTACCAAGCCTTCAGAGAAATACATGAGGATTATGTAAAAGCCAAACAGATTGTAAAATGTCATAAATAAAGTTAGCAATATCAGGGGTCAATGAATTGCCTCATCTTCAGAACATCTGTATACAATGAAGTTGCTGATATAGTCAAGTATACCATTGCAACCCTTCTGCTTTCCATTAACAAAGGTGTCAAGTAACGAAGAACAAATACTTCGTTACTGTACTTAAGTAAACTTTTTAGGTATTTATACTTTACTCCATTACTTATTTTTCTTCCTACTTCTGACTTCTACTGATTACATTTTCACACAATATCTTTACTTTCTGTTACATTTTTAAATCAAATGTTACTCGTTAATCTTGGGTTCGGTTTAATATTTATAAATATTTATTTCATGTCATGTGCGCCATCCAATGCAGATCATTGGCGCCATCCACATCTAGTGAAAATTTGTGTAATTGGATGAGTCATATAAGGCAAACACTAATTGGTTAGCTAAAGGAAATCATCAAAAGCAAGCCGGTGTTCTTCAAAGTGCAAACGTGAATTGTCTATGCCATGCTACAATGTAGGATTCAGAAAAAGACGTTGAAATGTCTGAAAGGTCGGACACAGGCGAGAGCGTATCGGGAGATGGAGACAGAGACTAACAAGACCTCCCTCATCCTTGGCCCTATCTCAAAGAATTTTTCGAAATAGTCGAAAAATTGAGCTTTCAATTCATAAAGTGGCATTTGGCTGTTTTTTTTAAAGGTTACTTTATACTTCTATACTTCAAGTAATTTTTGGAGCACAAACTTTTTCACTTTTACTTGAGTAAAGAGGTCAAGTTGATACTTCAACTTTTACCAAAGTATTTTTAAACTGCAGTATCTGTACTTCTACTTAAGTAACAAATGTGTGTACTTTTGACACCACCGTCCATTAACTCTGTTACATCTTCTGGAATATAGCTTTTGGGCAACATAAAAATGAATCTCCCCTCTTCTTCTACTATTTTAATCTCCAAACATTTCCTTAAAAAAACATATAACTTAGAGACTCATAAGAGAAATGTATCCACTCTTTTTGCTGATATTCAGAGGTATCAGTACCTAAGTGATATATGTATTAAATGAAAAATCTTTATTAGCATAGACTTTGCATTCTGATGAGGGTAACTGAGTGAGTCAGTGTTGCTAAGAGCCTTTTTCACCCATATTAGAGAATATCTCTTAATGCTCTAATATCTCACTGAATAAAATGGTGTTTTGGAGGATAAATGAAAGGAAAGATATGGTCA